CTAGCCAACCAAGTATCCCAGTCTTTCGTCCAGGACACCAACACTGATGGCCTCGTCGGTCTTGCATTCTCCAACCTCAACACTGTCAACGACGGAACCAAGAAGACCCCCGCAAAGACCTTCTTCGACAACGTCATGCCCAACCTAGACATGCCCGTCTTCACTGCCGACCTCGACCCAGATGGCACCGGTGTTTACGAGTTCGGCAAGATCGATGCTACAAAGTTCGAAGGCGACATGGCATGGATCCCAGTCAAGGCTGACACTGGCTTCTGGCAATTCGGCTCTACCAAGTTTGCCGTCGGCGACCAGCTCTTCGAGAACCCTCAAGGCTCCGACGCCATCGCCGACACCGGTACATCGCTCCTGCTCGTCGACCAGCAGGTTGCCGAGGCATACTACTCGCAAGTCCAGGGTGCTCAGCTTAACGCTCAGGTCGGTGGCTTCATCTACCCGTGCGGTACTGCGCTCCCTGACATGAGTGTCGCAATCGGCGACTCATACATGGCCAAGATCCCCGGTAGCCAGATTACTTTCGCCACAGTTGATGCGGCCAACACGACCTGCTTCGGCGGTGTACAAGGCAACCAGGGTGCCGGTCTGCAGATTTACGGTGACACAATGTTCAAGGCCCAGCTCGTTGCTTTCAACGGAGGAAACCAGTCTCTCGGCTTCGGTCAGAAGCCTGTTCCCAAATAGACGCGCGTAGCTAGTGGAAGGAAATACAGTCCTACTCGCATGTACATAGTTCAACACCCTTTGCACATTCACATGAAAATATACAGGACAGCCTAGAACAAATCATGGCCCAAATAAGCCACGAGTTAATGAATCAAGAAATCAAATCATCATCAAATTCTCCCTGCTCCTTCCTATTTGTGACATTGCGTGACTACGAGCGAGTGACCACGTGGACGCCAAGGCAGATACAGCGAAGAAGGCGCAACCATCGCAATCGACACTCACCATTTGCGCCTTTTTTACGAACAACAGCTGTCTAACGACTATTGTTACCCACATTACTTGAGAGCGAACATTCTTCAGACGCGACCAGCATGGAGCTGGACCTCGGCCTGGACACATCGGAGCCGAGCGTCCTCGAATGGGCGAGAGCGCAAGGCGTTTGCGTGAACTATGAGACCGAGTTACTGCACATTCGCCATCTTCAATCACCATCAGACGATGAGTTTGATCGACATCTTCACGAGCCCTCCGATGCGACCATCGACACGGTTGTCAGCGGGCTTGTCAAAGAAAAGCTTACGGTGAACAAAAAGACTGCGTTGCTCCTCAAGGCAGCACATGCTCTCCAGGATGAACTTGCAAGCGATTTGACGGTCATTAATAGCCGGACATGGGGACGCGATCTACGTCAAGAGCTACCTTTGTTACCATCAGACCATGAGCTCGATGTTCTCAACTTTGGTGATGCAGCTGCGCCGGACTTCAAGAACTTACGAATACCTTACGAGGTCACTGTAGAAGAGAGCGACGAGGGCTTTGGATGGCCAACCAAGTATCTCGACTACCCTGCACAATGCGAAGCGCAAATTAGAGCCGAAAAGCTCGCTATCACACGGGATGTGTTGGTTTATATGCAGGATACCATCCGAGACGCGTATGTACCGGAAGACGGCCAAAAGCTGGAGACGGAGAGCCTGATACGAAAACAAGTATGTCGTAGTCTTATTCAATTCTGCCTGCTAACCAACTCAGAAGCCCACTATTCGGCCTGTGACACCGCCCTTACTTCCAGAATCGCCGCCACTGACACCATACATTCCATCCTCACCCACAAATCGTCTGCCATTTGATTCAGATACTGCCGACTCGGTTACTATTGAGGCGCAGGCTCTGCAGGAGCGAATTCTGGCAGCGGACGCTGTTCTTCGCACAAACTCGAATAGCAGTGATTCGATGCTATTTGATCTTACTCACCCCCCTCAATTTAGTCCTCACTTCGAAACAACCAGTTCGCCCATACTGAAGCGCCGAGCTGAGGATCTCAAAGTGGAAGGTCCTCTTATGCCATCGATGTGTTCTAGTTCGCCCATGAAAAGGCTAAAGTCTGTGTCTTTCGCGGACGAATCCTTACTCTACAAGCCATGGGACGAGGATGACGAAGATAGGGTTGACTCTGACCAATTCTTCCACGAAATCGAAGAGCAGGCTGAGCGCGCCAACAAGAAAATCGAGAACGAACGACTGTCCGGCGCTGACACGATTGCAAGGGTCGATATTCCATACATGGACTTCTCGCTGCCCATGGCACCATGGATAGAGTACAGTCGGCGCAAGGGTGGCGATCATCGACCTGATGACACGGAACTGCAAGCGCAGATGCAATTCCTCTTACGCATCAAGCGAGAGGATCTGAGGTTTGCGAAGTCCTGGCATGGGCTTTCGATCTCGGAACGAGAGTTGAGGTGGGGCTTTCTCACTACCAAGGTGTCTACTCTCAGTCTCGAAGAAAAGCTTCATGGCGAGTCGGAAGTTGCTAAGATCGTCACTGAACTGACTACGGGCGATGTCGCGACTAGCTCAGCGCAAGTGTGGAAACGCGAAGGCCTGCGTATCCTTGACGAAGATGAGGACGAAGAAGATCTGGATCCAGAGGAATACGATGAGCGAAACGACATGGAGGCTCTGATACGCAAGCGAAAACTTGAAATGGAAGAGGAGGTCGTGGAGAAGCATCGCAGGCGCACCTCTTCGCAGCCGACTGCGCGTCCACAGATCCGATCCTCCACAGAGATGCAAGAGAGCCACCACTTCAGTGACCGCGAGCCAAGAGAAGACCAGCCGGCGAAGACCCGATCGAAGAGGCTGGATCATGCCTCCCAGAAACCGCAAGCTGCCAAACAAGCGACTGGAGACCTGATGTTCGGTGGATTCTCAGCAACAACCGCGCTTAACAAGTTCATGCAGACGCGAGGGAAGCCAGTAGATTGCGTAGAAAGTAGTACTGCAAAAGCTTCTGATTCTAGGGATCGCGCTCAACCGAGAACGCACACCTTACCGGTTCGATCAAGGGGGTCTTCATCCGACCAGCCAGTGGATCAGGCTCAGCAGGCGCAAACCACCAACAAGCCGTTACCTATGCTCCCTACTGTTCCGAATAACCTGGCGCCTTGTTCTTTCGTGATCTCATCAACCTTCCTACAACAAAGGGGAATGCTGAAACTGATCGAATCCATATATCCAAGCGCAGAGATGGTGTATCGAGATTACACTTTACCGCACTCGGCAGCCAAAGAAGCTGAAATCATACTGTCACCATCAACCGGCCTCATCTTCACTACTTTACAGCAGGTCAAACAAAGAGCTCTCCCTGGTCAGCCAGAAAGATCGCCAGTGAAAGAACGCATGTTGAAGCTCCAGTTGCGGTACGAGAGACTGGTAGTGCTGGTGAGTGAAGGCCTAAGCCGCGAGATGGAAGAGCTAGGATCGAGCCGACCAGATGACCCGCGAGATACAGAAGCTCTGAGAGCTTTCGATACGTTCGCCAGCAAATTGGAAGGCGAAGTACTTGTTCGATATGTTCGTGGAGGAGAACAGGCTCTGGCGCGGTTCACTGTCGTTGAGATGGCAAACTACGGACTGCCATATGGCTCAGCAGATATTGGCGACATCAAGCCTGTGGCGCAAGAGACAAGCTGGGAAGTCTTCCTCCGTCGAGTCGGCCTCAACCCGTTCGCTGCTCAAGTGATCATGGCATGGCTCCGCAAACCCTTGAACATGCCGATAGCTCCTTCTTCAACCCATCACGCGAAGACTGTCTCAGCATTTGGTCTCGCCCGCTTCTTACTGATGGGTGAAGAGGAGCGAATCCATTCATTCCAAGCTTTGATGGGTGGATATCGCGTTCTGATGAGGGTTAGCGAGCTAATCGACCAACGGTGGGTCAGCGCTGTGCATGGGTTTAGGATGTGAGATGAGCTGAGGGCAGTTGCGTTATTCATTGCGAAGGAGTTACGGGCATGCTATGTTCAGAAGTCGGACGGAAAGACTAAATTTAGAACGTTCGCTTTTCTTGTGATGCAGCACGAAACGTCATCTCAACTCACGGCCAGTCTGAGCTCCTTCACACACGAGTGAATGTGGGGTGAAGCTTGGACCAAGAATGACGCAGAAGCATCTCGAAATGTCGCAAAGGCTGCGCAACGATGATTGTTGCATGTCAAACTTTTTCACGCGCGGCTTGCAGCCTTACTGCCATCTCAAGTACTTCTTTTTCGCATAGCCTCGAATCACGCGCTTGCGACACGTGAACATGTCTTCAGTCGGTGTCATCATCTCAGGGCGGCCTGTCATCACCGAGCCTTCCTCCGTTATATCGCCGACCCAGTTTGCCTTCCAAATCCCTTCGCAGCCGTCATTCTCCCACATCGTCGTCTTCCTGCTTCCGGGCGTCACCTTACCAGATGGCACCGCCGCCGCCGTATACGCGCAATTACCCGGTACGACCGACTTCAAACTTCTCGGCGCAATCGCGAACGAAAAGCCTAGCGCGATATTCAAAGTGAACGCGAAAGCTGGTGGGCCTGCAGGTGGTGGCCTAGGCGACAATGACGATGCCATGGTGGACGAGGGCGTGTCGATGGACGCGTCGAACGTAAGCACCGTGCCGCTGGCCCTTGGGATAAGCGTTGAACCAGCGCAACAAGTCGCCGCAGCTCTGGAGCAGAACAAGGCTCAAGAGGCCGCAGCATCAGCAACACCAAGCATGGGACAAGGGAATGAGTTGGTGCTGAGAGGGCAAAGAAGCGTGGAGACCAAGGTGCTGGCGCAGAGGATCATCAAGAACTGCTACGACTTCTTGACAAGCTGGGGCTCCGGAGACACAGTGCCGTTGAAGGCATTCCAGGCATGGTGGACAAAGTTCGAGGGCAAGATCGAAAGGGATCCGGGTTTCCTGGAGAGGAGCGACGGAGGTTGAAGACGTGACAGCCTCGGTGGATTACAAGAGCTTGAAGGATACGAAGCTCGCATACAGCCTCTCAAAACGCCTTGTTGACACCGTCCCATTCCGGCTCCACGAGCCATGCCTCATACATCGCACGCGGCCACGAAACCTTCGGCGCCTTCTCTGGCTTCCGCTTTGCCTGCTCCACCACCGCATCACCAAGCACCTTCTCGATTCCCGCCCGCCCCCACCGCGCCTCCAGTCCCTCGGCCAGTGGTTGCAGCACCTCGTACCCCTCGCCTTTCCGTCCAAAATCCGTAATGACCCCGATACGAACAAGTCTCGACAGCTCACCAATTCTTTCGGAGATCCCTGGACTGGTATGACACGCGATGGCTGTCCAGACATCGTGTGCGTCCGACCCACCCACACCAAAGCCGGATAGAAACTCGACTGCGGCATCGCCGCCCTCAATCTCGAAGCGCTGAGGACCATCATAATTTTGGGTAGTTCCGAGATCGTGGAAAAGGCACGCGACTACGAGTAGATTGCGTTGATGAGTGTCCGTGAAGTACTTGGAGGATTCGTGTTTGGCCAATGCGTCGGCGTAGAGATACACCCTCATGCTGTGGTTCAAAACCGCCGGATGTAGCAGCTCAGCTGCATGTGGATATGCAGCTTTCGATATCTGTGTATACAGGCTGTGCTCAGAAAGGTGCTTGTATGCTCTATTGTCTGCATCTTGGGCTTCGGTAATGGTTAGGTCGGATGGTGGGCACATGGCTGTTATAGAAATAGAAGCGTAGTATGGATATCAACGAAGACATCACATCATGGTGTTGTACGTTTTGTCAAGAGATTACTTCGGTCACGCCTTCTTGTCGTTTCCAAGGTTGCCCGTTCCCAATCGGGACGAAAGGCGTGAGTGAGCGGGGTTACCACAATACCTCCGAGGATACAGCTCTTGCACCTCCACGTCCATGTACCGCCCACACAAATCCGAGAGAAAACCAAACGTAAGCGTCAAGACTAGAGGCCGGTAACGGCTATCAAAAACGGTGCCCAGTCATCGAGCTTTGCAAAAACATACTTGGCGTTCTTACTAGATATCTTCTAGCGGATCCAGAGGGTGGGTTATCGCATGCAAGGCTTACTGATAAGACCCGACCATACCACGACAAATCCGGACGAGTTGCATGGCCAAGAGAGCGAAGCTTGACTACGACTCGCAGAACTCACTAATCGAGCTGCTTGTAGAAATACCAAGACGGCATGACGACACTATCTTCACAGTAGCTTGACAATGGCTTGATAAGAAGCCGTGGAGATAGGCGTTGTAAGTTGGCCGACGGTGAGCTTGGCATTGGAGCTGCATGAACTGGAGATCACGAAGAGTATAAAAAGACAATTCAAGTTCCTGAAGAAGTCGATTGTAATCCAGCGACGTACCTCCTTCATACGCAAAGATGAAGCTCTCTACCCAACTCCTTCCTCTTCTCACGACTCTTACACTAGCTTCACCGATTGATCTCAGTCGCTCAAATGTCCACCGACTGTTCGTAAGACAAGACATTCAAACACCAATAAATGCTTCTCTTCCCAATGTCACCATCTTCGCAACCGGCGGTACAATTGCGTCTCAGGGCAACAGTAACACACAGACGACCGGCTACTCAATCGGCCTCGGGGTACAACAGCTCGTCGATGCCGTCCCAGAACTTCTCAACATCTCCAACATTGCCGGCTACCAGATCTCTAACGTGGGATCTGGTAGCATCAATGAGACTATCAGCCTGAGTCTGGCGCATATGATCAATGCTGAGCTAGCGAAAGATGAGATTTCGGGTGTTGTGGTTACACATGGAACTGATACGCTTGAGGAGACTGCGTTCTTTTTGGAGAGCACCGTCAATTCTACGAAACCTGTTATCGTCGTTGGTGCTATGAGACCAGCGACCGCGCTGAGTGCAGACGGCCCGCTCAATCTATACCAAGCGGTCACACTGGCCGGATCTCCAGTTGGAAGAAACCGAGGAACGATGGTGAGTAGATCAATCAACGCCGAACTAGAGATAAAAGTTAACAATACCCTCAGATCGTACTCAACGACCGCATCGGCTCTGCATTCTACACCACAAAGAACAACGCCAACACACTCGACACATTTTTCTCGACTGAAGCCGGCCAACTCGGTGTCTTCATCAACCAAGTTCCGTTCTTCTTCTTCGCACCATCTGAGCCCGTAGGCCGCGTAGTCTTCGACGTGACCAACATCACAGACCTAGCCTCCGTACCAATTCTTTACGCACACCAGGACATGGATCCCAGTCTTTTCAACGCATCCTATGCCTCCGGCGCCCAAGGTATCGTTTACGCTGGAGTCGGCGCAGGAGGTGTGTCTAGCAAGGCAGCTTTGGCTGCTGAAGAGCTCTACAACGCGACAGGTATCCCGATGGTGGCTAGCCATCGAAGTGCTGACGGACTCGTACCAGACGGTGGCGATTTTACTATTGCAAGTGGGTTTTACAATCCGCAGAAGGCGAGAATTCTGTTGCAGTTGGGTCTTACGATGGGATGGGGCGAAGATGAGATTAGAAAGGCTTTTGCGCTGAGTTATCCTGCGCCGTGAGCAGGTTTTGTTGTTTTCAGCAGAAATGAATATGTTTATGAGGCAAAGCAACTGCAGCCTAACCCATCTCGTTCACAGCTTTCCACACCTGTTAGCAGGCTCAATGTGGTGATGATGCCAAGACGGGTGTGTCGGATGAGTGGTAAGCAGAGTACGTCGAGTGAAGTCTGCAGTAGGTTGCCTAGCTGGCGACAATCTGTCCTGGTCGTCGGCGGTTAGTTGCTAATCGTCCCAATGAGCTTGGATCTGTCGCGGAATGAGACTGTTAAGGATGAATACGCGATGTCGCTGTCGCGTCGCTCACATGCAGTCGGACTACGCTAGGTCGGGCTGATTATGCGACGGGGCCAACATCGATCGCGTACGCGTTTACGGCAGATTGCGCGATGCGGCGTTGGAGTCGTTGGTGCACAGCCTACCAGAATTCAGGGCAAGCCAGATCTCACGTTGTTAGCCGCAGGTCGTAGGGTCTTGCACCACCGACGTCATGACTTGGCGCTACTTTGGGAAGCCACCCATCTTCCCTATAATTACGTTTATTGCCCAGCATTGGTGATAGTCAAGTCAAACCGAAATTCGCAATTATGTCAAATGATATCGCAGCAAACCGCTCTGGGCTCAAGGACTTTATTTCTTCCATAGCGACCATCTCGGGAGATCTTTCAAACATTACTGCACCGCCGTTCGTACTAGCCGAGAACTCGACAGTTGAGATACCACAGTACTGGGCGGATCATCCATATCTCTGGGCTGCACCGGCGTCGGAAGAGGACCCTGAGAAACGCGCGTTGCTTATGCTCAAGAACTTCCTAGGCTCGTTACGGGGACAGCAATATGCGGGGCGGAATGAGGAAGATGGTGTCAAGAAACCGTTGAACGCTTTTCTCGGCGAGCTGTTCCTCGGAAGCTGGAATACTGAGGAGCTGGGCGAGACGCGACTAATCTCCGAGCAAGTCGGCCACCATCCACCTGTAACGGCGTGCTACTTATGGAACGATCAAGTTGGGATCCGAGCGGAAGGGTTTACGGAGCAAGAAATCACATTTTCTGGAAACGTCAGTATCAAACAGAAGGGATACGCCATAGTACATGTCGACAAGTACGACGAAGATTACCTCCTTCCACTGCCGAACATTAAGGTCAAGGGTCTCTTAGGCGGGGTTCCACATCCGGAGTTGTACGGCGAATATTCTCTCATCTCATCCAACGGATACATATCGCATATCAAATTCGAGGGCAAATCTTTGTTCGGCTCAGGGCACAAAAATGGATTCCACGCAAGATTTTTCCACGCAGACAAGCCTGGTGAGACCATCTACGAAATCGAGGGAGCGTGGAACAGCACGTTTACCATCAAGGACGCGCGGAACGGTTCCGAGGTGGAGACCTTCGACGTCAGAACCATCAAGCACAAACCCATGACTGTGCCCGACCTCTCAGAACAAGACCCATGGGAGAGTCGCAAAGCATGGGGCGATGTCATATCATCCCTGCACAAAGGCGACATGAAGGGCGTTTCAACTGCGAAAAATGTAGTCGAGAATGGCCAAAGGCAGATGCGGAAAGACGAAGAAGCGAAGGGCGAGGAGTTTCAACACGTCTTCTTCAAAACAGTACCCAACGACCCGATCTTCGATAGATTAGTAAAGCATGACCCGCAAGCTTACACTGTCGATCCGTCAGGCGGCATTTGGAAAGTCGACAAGGAAGCCGCGAAGCAGCGACAGCGCCCGTTCCACGGCAACCTCACACCATCAAACGAAAGGATAGGTGGAGCGCAAACGCAGGGGCGGACGCAAGAGGGCAGACAATCAATAAATGACCAAGATCAGCAACGCAGTGGGGCTGCTGGCGCAGTGGGCACGGCAGCGACGTCTAACGGCTCTGCACCGGATGGGCCGGTTGAACAGGTCGGCGACGTGAGCCCACGTGCCGACCAACGTCCAGATTCGGCAGTGGGGAGCAAAGGGGAGTCCTGCAGTCAACCGGCCAATGTGACGGAGGTAAGTGATGAGATGGTTGAGAATTTCTTGAGGGCGAAAACGAGTAATGTACAGTAAGCGGTGATTGTGAAACTTGGAGTTGATCATGCGCTAGAGTTTGACCTGGATTATGTAGTTTTGGATACTTAGATCCCTTTAGTCAAAACGTCCTAAGGTTACATACACCGCCAACGAATCTCGCTTCAACTTGCATGTATTGATGGGGGGCGAGCATCGTACATGAGCTCTATACCACGCGAGACATCACGCCATCCCTAAAGCAGCTGTGACATATGCAAGTCTGATGTGTATATCCTTTTTTTGTATTGTTGACTGGCTCGCGCCGCCATGAGGATGGTATCATGAATCTAAATTAGCTAATAACAAGGTCGTCCATATCGTTCACTGTCCACTCCAGTTGCCTTCTCCAATTCTACCGTCTCTCGTTCTTCTGGTTGATGTGCGTCTCCATAGTGATTTCTCCAACTCTGCATTCCTCGTCAGACACCTTTCCACCACCCTTTATTCTCCAAGTGTTGAACACCTTATCGCTCTTCTCGTTTTCCGCGGATAGATCATCGCGGAGCCGTACTGGCTGAAGGTTGCCCATGCCGTAGTCCTGGTCGATCTCCGACTTCGTAGACACACCCTTTTCAGTCTTCAGCAGAGACATTGTCATGCTGAAGAGGCTGGGCTTCTTTTTCGATTCTCTGTTCGGGTCGTTGACCCATTGTGGTGTTCGCATGTTCGATGGACGTGACGGGCCGAAGGAGGAGTTGCTGAATCCGAATTTCTCAGAAACTTGTCGCCAGAGGGGACGGAGAGTAGCGAGAGAGCCAGCTGTGATGGCGAGACCCTGTTCGATGTCCGACCAGATTGCGATATCAACAGTGGCCCAGAGGAAGTCGGGGTTCTTGAAATCCATAACGTAACCCATGCGCACACAGACTGCAACACTAGCACTGCAAGATTGTTAGGAATAGTATGCTGAAGTGATGACAAGTAAACTTACAC